CTACCCCGTTTCTCGTCCTATGTTACTATCTCTACTTTGCAACTGATTTAGAAAATGAATCATTTCGCTTACCGTTTCTTATTTGGTAAATTGAATATAACTTTTAGTCCAGTGCAGAAACTATTTTGGTTAATATCATTCTATTGTCGGACTATTTTTTCTATGTCTAAATAAATGGGTGTCCATTCGACTGGAAAGATCCCATCAACTATTTGGTAGCTTTCACAGGAGTTTCTATGTATATCTATTGCAACTTACTCGCTATTTCAAGTATACTAATTTATGCGGCCACTTCATGCTGTATGCTATGTGCCTTCGTAAAAGATTTCAAACAAGAAGTGAACACTCTAAATGCAATTGGCAAGGATGGAAGGAATCAGACAGAACTTAAGGGCAAACTCTCAGAATTCGTTGAATTTCATGTGACTGTGAAAGAGTTGAGTATATTGACACCACTACCACAAACTGTTGTAATATAGTAAGGGGGTAACATTTATTTTAAGATTTGCCTTCAAGTATGCGGATGCTTATGAGTTCATTTTCTTGATCTACTTTTTGTGGAGTAGTGTAACAATTTGCAGCACTCTTTTAATAGCTCAATTTGAATTGGTGGGTTTTATTACGTTTAATAATGTTATTTTTAAGATTTAACTTCAAATGCAAATGATTCAATGCAACAATTTCTCTTTTTTTATTAAAATTTAGTCTCAAGACAATACCAATTTCTTCATTCTAATGACTCAAATTGATGTCATGTTCTGGTCATTTTTCACCATATTTTTATTCTGCATTTTTGGTGAGAATATAACAAATGGATTTATGGATGTGAATGAGTGTCTTTATCAATGTGATTGGCACTTGTTTCCATTGGACGTTCAACGCATGATACCAACTATTTTAATTAATACTCAACGACCCGGGCCGGTATTCTAATGCCACTTTCCGATCAATTTGTTCGGAATTATTCATTTGAAACTAATATTTTTTTGTCTTTTCAACGTTTGGCGTCAAATATGGACACTGAAAGTACCAAAATATAACATTAATAGAGCTCTACATTTGTCGCCAAACATTGAAAATATTAAAAAAATTGTTAAACACTCAAAATATTAGCTACGGTCAGGCGCTGAATCGGTCTGAAAACAATAGAAGTGGTTAATATAGTGATTGTAGTAATGTGAGTGTTAATATAATTATAACAATAACTTTTATTGTTTTCACTGAGCTGAGTTGTTTATATAAACAAATGTTTCCGATCGATTTTTGTGGATTGTTCTAGAATACCGGCCCCGTTATGCTTAAAGGTTTTGGCAACATTTTATGCACACGCGAAACTTTCAAAATAGTAATTTCATATGAAATTTCGAGTCAAACTGAATGTGCATTTGATATTGATAATTGATTTTGATGATTTCAGGTGGCAAATAGAGGATATTCCTTTTTTATGATACTTCATTAATATCGATATTAAAAACCAAGCTAAAAACGGTTCTTGTTACATGAATAATATACAGGTACGTACAAGTCATGTATCTAATTTAAAAAATGTCATTTTGATGACTTTAAACAAAAAAGAAGTCACTTTTATCAGACTTTACATTAACGGTCTCAATTTTATTATATGTACGTCAGACGAGCATAACATCGCTAAAATGTTCAACAGATTATTGATTTTATTATGATGATAATAACCAAACACTATTTGTTATATTTATGCACTTATATCTCACTGTGTTACTTTTGCCACGGCTTTTATCAAATAAATTGCAGTTTTCGTCCACCAAAAAACCTATTCGTTTTACTAACGTAAAATACTAAATATCAAGATAATTTTCAGTCATTCGAAGCGGATTGGATATCAACCAATTCGAATTAAGGACTATTATGAAAATGATTTGTTTTTGTTTTCAAAATGTTGAGTTATTAAGGAAATTTCATTTTGATCCAATAGGAGTTGATTGAATTTACTATAGAAACGCCATATTTAAAACACAATCGTCTGGAAATACATATTAAAAGTCGAGTATCACTTACAGTCGGCTTTCAACGCGACTCGATTTAAGAAGCGCCATCTCTTTCACGCCAGATTCTCATATATTTTTTTCTTGCAAATATTTTTTTCTTGCAAAATTGTATAAATTGAATAAGTTTTGCAATAATATTAACGAAAATAATTAATAGAATTTATAATAAATAAAAAAATTGAAAAAACACACAAATATTTTATATTATATGATTCACCAGAATAGCTTCACTTCGTGTTGTTTACGTTGTTCCTTTTGACAGATATCAATGTTTGACAAATACATATTTTCTCATGTATTTTCTCCACGTAACCATCTCTACATGGTCTACAAGGCAAAGCTACATATCATATAATATAAAATATTTGTGTGTTTTTTTCAATTTTTTTTATTTATTATAAATTCTATTAATTATTTTCGTTATTATTATTGCAAAACTTATCCAATTTATACAATTTTGCAATTTTATTTGCAAGAAAAAAATATATGGAAACCTGGCGTGAAAGAGATGGCGCTTCTTAAATCGAGTCGCGTTCAAATACATTGTCAATATACAACGCAAGTGATACTCGTTAAAAGTAGTTTAAACAAATTTTTCAAATTGATAAATCAATTTTTACTTTATCAAAAATTTCAAATCGATTAGTCGTTTTGTTGCTTCCGATGCGTTTCTAAACAACAGCTGATTGCCATCGATTGTACCAAAATTGAAGGTCAACAAGAGTAATGGTAATGTGGTTTTGGTTATTTCAAGGAAATTCGCACAAACAAACCACGTTCTGAATCGGGGAGTGAACATGCTGTGGCCACTTTATTCAGGTTTTGATCCAGTTCAAATA